CTTCATTTCTGCAGTAACAACTGAAGTGTAGCCTGGTAGCAAGTGTGCTGACAACATGTCTTAACTCCCATCAATCATGTTGTTCCCTGTCTTGCATTTCTCTACTGCCTCTTAGCAGAGAGCAGGACTTAAAATTTCAGGCAGACCCAATCAACATTGCTTCTGAATAAGTACCTTTGTGCTGTATTTTGTGCATGGGTCTGGGCTGTGTGGAAACCTAAATTCACCTTGCTGCGATTCTGCTTTAGAAGCTTGCCTAAAGCACAGAAGAACAGAAGAGAAAGCTTGAGTTTGTTCTAAAACCAGCCTGGACTTTCAGTGCCATGTTGCATGAGTATGCAAGAACAGAGATAATCTAACTAAGTCTGATCTCACATTCTGTCTTGGGAGGCCTATTGGAAACACCATAGGGCTGATATGGGCAGACGGTTTGGAGTCTTCCTGATGTCCCATGTAGTAAGGGACTCTACTGCGATCATTGATCTGAGGCCACCTAAAACCAGAACAGAATCCATGCAGCTGAGTTAAACATAACCCTAACTGTAACCCCTAACCTCAAACCTAACCCTAAAACTAACCTGTAAGACCCAGTCCCTAACACCTAACATCCCAACCGTTAATGACCATAACCCTAATCCTAAACACTCTAATCCCTAACTCTAACTCCAAACCCTAACCCCAGCCCTGATCTCTCACCCCAAACCTAGACCCTAATCCTAACCCCTAAGAGAAGCCACTTTGGACAAAGTTTTCACTGTAGGCTTGAGCAAGCACAAAAAATCAGGACTAACCCAATGCTAACATATAGCCATGATCTTTCTTCATCACCTTTCTGCAATGTGGACATCTCAATTAACATCATAAGAAGGTATTCACAGTCCTTTTAAACTCTTCGTAATTTTCCATGACCATAGGGAAAGTCTCAGCGGGGCTGGACAATAGTGAAGTTTTTCTTGATTAACTCCCAACAGTCTTACCTGGAAATACTTAAACCATTAGGCCTAGGTTCAGTCTGAATGAAAAGATGCTTTGTTGTCCTTATGAAGAAAGGAGATGGAAGTTTGGTGTAATCATTAAGAGGAGTGCTTTCTGGACTTCTAATCCTTTATCCACTTATTTTTTAATTGTGTCTGTAATTTATAGATCATTAAACTGCAAGGATGGAAACATGGCCAGAAATTTTCTTTACTTTCTTTCACTTGACCAAAAAGAAACTTCTGAGTAAACAGCAGTCTCCTAGCTGAACCATGCTTTACGTTCTAGAAAGATTCTTCATTCAGACTCCAGAACATAATTGTATCTGAACAGTGAAGTGAACTTAGGGGTTGAACACAGGCTCAGGCACATTTCAGCAAGAGAGAGAATAGTTTTGTTCTCACAGGAAGGATAAATCAAGGCAAAAGGCAGACACAACTGTATGTATTTCATAGCTCAGCTTTTTCAGGAGGCCTAAGCTAGTCATGGTCCCCCACTGAAGCATTTTCTTCGACCTTGTCTGGACTCTCAACTTTTTCTCTCAATTCTTTTACTGGACCAGCTGTTTCTCTCTCCGCCAGTTCCCAACCCGTTAATCACTTCTTCCCAATCCTTCTTCTGTATCTACTTTCTCTTCTCACTTTCTCTTCTGTTAGTTTCCCAGGGTTCTCTAATCCTCATTTCTATTTCCTTATTTCTTCTGTTCATCCCAATTATAAAAAACACAGGATGACTGTATTTCCTATGGGCTGTCTTGAGCCTCACTGAAAAAATATGGGAAGTAGTGCAGCTCATCATTATCAAATTTCACACATACAGCCTCTATTAATGTGATAGCCATTTTGATTTAAAGCAGTGAGATTTTAGCCTTCCTGAAAGGCATACTAGCTGATAGTCATTTTGAATTAGCAGAAAATTTGCATATTTGTAACGAGCATTGATGGGACATTTGTAAAATCCCATGTCATAAAAGTAGGGATGAGATTATGACAACAGACAATGTCTTCTTTCAGGTTGGTCTCTATATGCATGATCACTCTGCTTGAAATGTTAATGTATTTTATATTTTACTACTGTAGAAAATTGTGCCTGGATCAGAGAAGTCTGAAATGCAATAACCACAACAGTGTGTGCCCCTAATTAAACATCCTTCTTTGCTGTTACCCTGCAACTTCACCTGGGGACCTCTGCACTGGATAAATACACTATTTCACAAAAGAACGTAAAACAGAGAATATGGCTTCTTTGGGACTTAGTTCCAATGCTTTCTAAGGAATTGGTGTAGCATTTCTGCTGAAGAAAAATATATTCTTTTCCTATCACACACACAAAGAAACTGCTGAGAGATTCAGCCAAGCTTATTGCAACTGTCTCCACATTATTGATCCTGTGGTTGTTCTGCAAGGTGATTACAAATACTAAGTCATCATTGCATATTAGTCACAAAAACAAAAGGGGAATTGAATCTGAATATGGATTTTGACGTGCTTTTTTTGTCTCTGAACATCAAGGGAAATTTAAGCACCACCAACCCAAACCTTCAGTCCTATACAGTTGAGTAACTACACAAAAATGCAGTTCACTGCACCATCTTTAATTTTGCTGCCTATAGAAAAGCTGTTTCATTATACAGCTGAGATATCTGAAATGCTGATATTTGCAATGCAGTAATGCTAAAAATGTAATACATGATTATACCTCCACTACAATAGCAAGTAGCTTATATTTCAAAGAGGAAGACATTATAACTGAAGTATGTATGGATGATGACAAGTAGAAGCATAGAAGATATTCAGATTTTAGCTGTAAGAACACTTCTCCAAAGTATTAGTGTTCTGTGCACATTAACATTAAGCAAAGAATGGGGATGTCTGATGTCTTTGCTTGAGCCATCAATGAAAATACTGAAGAATATTGATGTCTGCATGAAAACAGATCTACGTATCAGTAGTACTTAAAAATTTCTTGAAGAATCATTAATTGTTTTAACCAATTTCTTTTTTGAAAAAAAATAGTTAATACTATTAAATACATTGCATAGGACTAAAACAGAGTTTAAAATGTTACGCAAATCAAGAATGAAGCATCAGCCATGCTTATTCCTGAAACAGAAGCCTGTAAAAAAACACATGACCTTTCCACAATATTGAGTATTCTGTTAAAAGTTATTGTATAGGAATCAGAAAGGTCTACTTGCTGTAAATCAAGCAGATTTGCCTTAAAATTATATACTAAAAAACTAGTTAGACTGGACCTGAAAAAGTTACCTCATCTATCCTTCCACCTTGAGTTAAGAATCCATAGATTTTTGTAACTTGGTCCTAAAGAAATCCAGCGGTGGAAATGCTACAGGTTTCTCAGGCAATCTCTTCTAGTGCTTCTCTATCCTCAGCGATAACAAGGACAGAATTAAGTCAGGAGATAATTCTGGACACCCACACACAACATGATGTACTCTTAATGTAAAAAGGACTTTATATGGTAATATGTTTTAACAAATGTACATGTTTCAAGTTTCTAGCTACTTTCTTCAGCATGAAATGCAGCCTTTCAGCAACTCTTTGCCATAGAAACTAATTAGCACTCTGAAATCTGAAATGCTTGAATGAATTATTATTTGTATTGTTCATATTTTTGCTCCTCCAGTAGTTTTCATAAAAGAAATTTTACTGTCATCACCAGCTGCCACAAAAAAGGATTTTCTGAACATGCTTCTGGGTTCACAGAGCTAAACCATTCCTTTAATTCATATAAAAGAAACCATACTATTTGATATAAACTTTATTCATTATTTAAATATCATTAGATTCTATGAGAAAGAGAAAGAAATTTCAAGGCATAATCTAGGTAGCTTGTTAAGAATTACGAAGTGCTGTTGATGCTACATTCAAGAAAGATAAAGGAATTAGTGAAGTACTAGATAGGAATGTTTAAATTCTCCATACTGTAAGCACATTTTGTGTTATAATAAAATCTGTCATTGCAAATGAAATGTACCACCTGGCTCAATTATGTTATATATATCCTATATACCTATTTACTATATGCATCTGCCTATTACTTGTGTACATCAGAGGGCTAGAGAATAAGAGTGTATTAGGAGGGAAATCTGATCAGAACAGCTATGAGAGGGGTCTTCCTCACTGTAGTCACAGCTGTAAGGCTATTTCTGAAATAGAGATAAGGACTGATTTGGGAGAGCACAGAACAAGTTGGGAAATTGCCCTGGATCAACTCTTAGGCAACTCCTGTGACTCTAGGACCCTGCTACGGAGATAATCTTGGAGTTCAGAACAGCACATGCAGAAGGTAAAGACAGTGAATCATGGCAGGATCAGATCAGTGGAGATGATAGGTGGTGGAGTTGCTAACAACAGAAGTCTTCAAGAACAGGTTAGATGATATGGGTCAGGTACGTGAGTGACATCGCAAATCCTGCCTTGTGACAGGTGATGTGCTGGGTTACCTCTCAGGATCCCATGGTTCTCTTCAGTGTTTTTTTGTGACAGTAGAACGACAGGCACTGGAACAGCCTGAATTTTCAGGAAAATGGCCACAGATTATTAATGTGTGTTTTGGAGAAGTGTTTTTCTCCATATTTTACTCAAGTGTAAACTGACAGTTTTACATTTTAATAACCGAAGAAAAGTTTTGGAGTCTTGACGGGTTAGAGGGTGCAGTTACAATAATAGACAGGTTTCTCAAGGGTGCTGGAAGCTTCATAGAGCACCTGCTGCTATTGCTGATGGTATTTAAAACCACACAGACATAAACATCTCTCCCCTCCTGCCCCAAAAAAAGGTGTCTGCTTCCCTAGATGAGGCTGCTGTGGCTACCTGTACATAGAGTCAGTTTGGACTCAACTTCTTCATCCTCTCCAGGTGGTGGAGGTCAGTTTCAGTCAGGCTGGTTGCAAACAGACTGAGCACAGACAGAAAAGTGCACTGCTGGGCAGGGCACCTCATGACAATCATCACCACCAGTCCTCAAGTCTTATGGATGCAAGCAAGGGTTCCCTGTGTGGGATGAGGAATTGTCCATATGAAGCAGCAAGGGAGCTGGGTTTTAAGCTTCAGGGGGAAGGAAATGCAGCAGAAGGTGGGGAAGAAGACGATGAAGGCACACTAGAAGGCATGCTACTTTCTGAACATGCACATGGCCTGGCACGAAACCAAGAGTTGCTGTGGCTAACTGATATTGTAAGCTGCCGTTGGTAGTTTTGGGTGGAACTGAGTAAAACCACCACCGAAGCTGGGTGAATTTGGGATCCTCCATATACATTTTCAATATCTGTTGCTGATGAACCCTTCTAACTATAATCTAATACACAAAAATAATACAAAGTATAAGAAAGAGTATTACACATGTTCAACGGGACTGACAAGACTGATGGAATCCTAACTTCTAAGCTGAACAAGTGATGCAGTTTTCACAATGGTATTAAATAGGGTTCTGCATTGAATCCACTTTTTTTCTAGAAGAGACTGTCTGACATGAATTATACCAAATGAAATTTGAAGTTCACACTCACAGACTGAACAAGTTTTTCTCCTTTTGCCGCTGATGCTATTTAGGGGTCACTTCCTGAGACTAGGCTATGTGAGCCACAGCAGAGAAGAGCAGAGCAAACACAGCTTGTGGCTTGGGTGGAAGGAAATTTCAAAGTTTCCATTCCATTCCACTCAGGTTGAATGAAACGTTTCCCATTAAACAAAACTCTTTTTTAGAAAATAACAACTGTTAGCAGCCCTGACATTCTCAAGGATTTCTCTAACCACTCTCCACTTTAAAAGCTTGTGAGGGAATAGTCTCTTGGGAAAGAAAAATCTGTGCATATCTCCAAATATGTTTGCATCTTGCTGTGAAATGTCTGTTACCAACCAGTTTTGGAGACAGCGTATCGGACCAAACAGATGCAGGAACGGTTCTGTCATGCCATGAGCTGCTGTTCTTAACCTAAGCCTAGAGGAGAGGAGTCACACTAGCTTTGGCACAACCCCTACCTGGACCCCTGGGAGAAAGAGTGATGAAGCCTGCTCCATAAATGCAAAGCTAAGGGCCGTGGGCAGATCACACAAAATAAGGATAGTCCAGGACAGCCTAGTCACTTCAAAGAGGGCTAAATAATACTGAGAAAAGTGGATATGGCTCACGATTTCTTTTTCATGTTGCACTATGCATTTTAAAGTTTTTGGTTTGGGTTCGGGGTTTTTTGGTGCATTTCAGAGAAACTGTCCTACCAGAAAGTGACGGCCATGTTGAGACCGCGTAGATGAAACAGGACGCACGGGAGCGAGGGCCGGGCAGTGGATCTGGCCAGGTCCCGGGGCTAAACTCCCAGTGGGGGCTGCAGGGGCCCTGCCGTTCCCCTTACTCCCCTCGCCCCCCATTCCCCTGCTGGTGGCGGGGCCGGCG